TACCTTTTTTTTTTATTGTTTTTTTTTTTTTTTTTTTTTTTTTTCGGTGAGGTTTTTGCTATAGGGTGTGTGTGCTTACCAGAAAGACAGAGCGAGACATAGAGACAGAAGTGAGAAATCACCCCCCAGGGGGATGACCATGCTGCAATCCCTTCTTCTCCATTCTCCTCTTGGGATCTTGGGCACGCATGCACACGCACCCGGCATGAGCTTAAGCCACCAGGTCCAGGACTTGAATTGCGGTTGACTACATGGGAGCCTAGCAACATAGCCATTATGCCAACTGCTAGTCTTGCCAATGAGTTTTAACATATGTATTCACTGATATAACTACCACGATCAAGATGCTGAAGAGTTAATCTCCCACCAGAAGCCTCTCGTGCCACTCTTTGTACTCACTTCCTTCTTCCTGCCACCATTGACTTGCTTTCACCATTTTAGCTTTGTCTTTGAAAGAGTATTTCATAATTTTACATTCCTACCAACAAAACATGACAGATCCAATTTGCCCATGTCCTTGCCAGCACTTGGTATTATTCATATTTTTAATCTAATTATTGTAATAGGTGTGTGGTGGTATCTCTTCATGGTTTTAATCTGAATTTCCCTAGTGGCTAATGATGTTCAGCATCTTTTATTTGCAACCCCTATCTCTCTTTTGATTAAGTACCTGCTTAGTTCTTTTGCCCATTTTTAAATGGAGGTATTTCTTACTGTTGAATTTCAAGAATACTTTCATATAAGTCCTTTGTTAGGTATGTGCTTTGTAAATTTATTTTTTGAGAGAGATTTTTACTATAGGGTGTGTGCTCACTGGATAGACAGAGAGACCGAAAGTAAGAAATCACCCGTGAGGGGGATTGCCATGCCATAATCCCTCCTCCTCCTTTTAGGCGTGCATGAACAAATGTCCAGCATGTTTCAAGCTACCAGGTCCAAGACTTGAATTGTGGTCAATCATGTGGGAGTCCATTGCTTTAACCACTATGCCTCCTGTTGGCCCCACAAATATTTTCTTCTAGTCTTTCTATTCTCTTACCAGTGGCTTTCATAAGTACAAATTTTTAATTCTCATAAATCTCAGGATCAGTCTAGAATATATTGTGTATATGTAGGTGGATGATTTAATCTGCCAACATCCCTCTCATTTCATCTGTGAACGTTTGAGCTCTGCATACAATTCCCAGGACTCTTCCCTCACCTTGCTGCTCATGAAAGTCAGTTCCCACTGTTAATGATACAGTATAAACAAATATTTGATTTGCCTTTAAGATCTATTCAACATTAGGCATGCTTCTTATTCACTTGTATACATAAACATTCCCTAGTCATATATCCTCTTATGGTAAACATTTGGTCTTTTTATCCTGCCGGAGCAACCCCTAGCATATCAGAAGACAATGGAATCACTAGAAGGGTTGGGAGCCTGTGTATCAGCAGTATCAGCATGACCTGTAAATGTGTGGCCTGTGTATCAGCAGTATCAGCATGACCTGGACTGATTCAGACTCCCAGACCCTAAGTTAGAATTTGCATTTTAATGAGATCCCCAGGTGCACATTAAAGTTCTGAGGCACAGCTGCACAGCTCATCTGGTTCTCACTCTTCTTTTCCAAACAAAGAACCTGAGATCCGGAGAGAGCAAGGATGACTTCCAGGCCAGCAGCGGCTGGCACTACAGCTAGGGTAAGAACCCTGCTCTCTTGCTCCAAGGCCAGTGTGTTCTTCACTGGCCCTCCCGTCTTCCACACTTGAGGTGACAATGACAGCCTTAAACGAACGTCTCCATCTTATCCTAGACCAGAGATATTCGTCTTGATGTGACTTTCTCCAAAAGACTTCCTTCACTCCTTATTCCCATTATCCTCTAGAGATAACCCAACTTTCAAAATGCAGACTTTCAAATTTTCATAATGAAATGAACTAAACACTCTTTGGGGGAATAAAGTGATTTTTACCCTTGCATTTGTTTACTTCTCTGTTAAGCTCCTGAGATGGCTAACACACTAGTTGTTAATCGCACCATCTGTTCAAACAGCACTTCTAAATCATTCAATTCATACTTTTCTTTTTAAGGAATTTTTTTTTCAGAACAATATGTTTGTGTCTGTGTTATTCCCATCATTTGGCAACGCAGTATAAGCTATTTAAACTTTCCTATTTATTGTAAATGGCTTTTCAATCAGCAAATATTTTTTTAAATGTGCATACACCACAAAAAAGCTGCGTCTACTGACTTTTCAAACATTGGAAACAGTAGAAAAATCTATTCTAGTCTGTCTGCTGTCAAATTTTCAACCATCTGATTATATTTAAATGAAGTATGTAGGAAAATGGTTTATCTGGCTGACCCTGGTAAGTTTTCTCTGTTGGCCCTGAAGATGGCAGTGCTGTGCAATTTAGTACAACCCTTCACTTTTATTTTATTTCCGCCCTCTCCTAGAAGGAATTTCTGGAATGGCTGAACGTGGGGGAGGATTCCCTAAATCTGAACCTTCTAACACTTAGCATAAACCTCTTCTGAACCCTGGGACAAGTTGGTTTATCTTTTGGTCCCTTTGTTTTTGTTTAAAGCTGTACCCCATGCGTTTCCTGTTCCCAGCCAAGATCAGAAATGAAACAGAAATGGAAATAGTTTAAAGGTTATTCTCATATCAGGAGTAACCAGGAAGCTCCGATATAGTTTACTGAGAAGTTGGTTTTCACAAGACTGCTTGGCTTTTTAAAAAAAAATCCTAACAAAGGCCCAGCCCAAGATAAGCGGGAGCTAAGATTACTGGAGGTTTTGAATGCCTACCAGGACTACATCTCTGGGAGTTCGCAGCCTTTCCTTGTTTCCTGTTCTTAACAGCAGAGGCCTGCTGCCTGACATTCTGTAATTTCATTAGCAGGGTCTGGAAGAGTGCTTTTAGAGGAACACATGATCAGACCTCAGGTAGAATAAGCAGGAGGGCAATTTCTTTCTCCCGTCATTGTTAAGATCTGAGTAGGGGAACAGAGAGGGATGTGTACACCCAAGTTACTTTTGGGACTGTCAAAATTTGTTGACAGTTTAGCCAGAAAACATTTATCAAAAAGAGAGCCCTTATAGTAAATGCTATTATAAATAATTATAGTCAGCCATGTTTATATGTACTATGACCCAAACTTTTGCCACATACTTAAACAATATTTCATTTAGTTTTCACCTAACTGTTCAAGCTAAGTGTTACAAGTTAAGCATCCCTGATACAAAAATCTAATTTTTTGGGGGGGGCTGGGGAAGAGGTTTTTGCTGTAGGATACATGCGCTCACCAGAAAGAGACAGACAAGAGAGACAGAAAGTGAGAAATCACCCCCACCTCCTTGGGGTAATAACACGCTGCAATCCCTTCTCCATTCTCCTCTCAGGATCTTGGGCACGCATGCACATGTGCCCAGTGTGAGTTTAAAGCACTGAGTCTGGGACTCGAACTGTGGTCAAATACATGGTAGTCCAGCAACGTAGCCATTACATCATGGGCTGGTCCGAAAATCCTATATCTTATATGCTCTAAAATTCTAGACTTTTTAAAAAAGGATTATTAATTTAATTTAATTTTTTATTATATTTAAAAAATTTGCTTTAGGGCATGAGAGAGAGAGAGAGAGAGAGAGAGAGAGAGAGAGAAAGCCAACGTGTCCAGGATTTGGATCTCAGTTGGCCCTGTGGAAATCCACTGTCTTTTCCAACATGACACCTGCTGGCCCAAATTCTAGACTTTTTTGAGTGCCAACATGGTTCCACATGTAGAAAATTCCATGCCTGACCTCAAGAGACAAGCTTTAATCAAAATACTGTAATACAAGAATATGGCATTCAGTTACTTTCAGGCTGTGTGCATAAGTGACATATAAATTGTAAATAACTTTCATGGCTAGACTTGGGTCCCATCCTCAAGTGTATTTTTCATTATGTATATGCAAATATTATGAAATATTATGAAATTTTAAAACAAAACAAAACGAAAACCTGAAATCTGGAACTTGTCTGTTTACAACTATTTCCAGTAAGGGATATGCAACCTACATCCTGTATACTTTTTTGTTGCTGTTGTTTGGTATAAGGAAACAAAGACCAAGAGGTTAGGAAATGTGGTTAAGGTCACACAACTTGTCATTTAAATTGTTGGGTTTCAAAGTCAAGCCTAACTCCTGAGCTTGCTCAATCAATTATTATCTTATATCTTGATTCATCAATGAAACAGCATAGACATCAAGCCCTCCAATTGTAATTAGACATATTCAGTGCCCATATCAGTTCTCAAGGATATCAGATGGGGAGGCCTAGATGTCACTATTCTCCTTCTATTAATTGCTACACAGTTGTGAAGGCCAGGCTCCCAGTGAACCATTTGTTGTTCACTGATTTCAAACATTTCATTTTCTACTGAGTTGTACCACCCAAGCTCAGAGAACATCTCAAGTTTACTTTGTTTACCAACCCCTCCCCATTGAATTGTGGGGATGTTCTTGTATATTGTTGTTGCTAAAATATAGGTGTGTAGAATCCCATTTCCCCTCTTTGCTTATGAATGTCCTCTAACATTGTTTAGGGAAGCCTTTCTTAAAATGTGGTCCCTAGACCCATGCCATTGTACACCTAGACCTACTAATGCATTACTTAGAAACTTGTCAGAAATGTAAATGCCCAAGCCCAATCCCCAGAGTTTTTGATTCAGAAACTCCAGGGGTGGAGCCCAACTATCTATGTTTTAAGAAATGCTTCAGGTAATTCTGGTGCTTATTTATATTTGAAAACTACCAGGCTAGGTATTTATCTACTGTGATTTGGAAAAAAAGGTGGAAGCTCAAGGGAGTCAATGACCAAATTGCTGTGTGCTGGGGAAGGGAAGTCCTCCCTAGTTGCTAATGGGAAGGACAGGAGCACAGCCCCCATGGCTGTGTAACTTAAATTTCATCTTAGAAGTTTGTTTTTCTCAGTAAAGCTGATACTCCTTTGAGCATTTTGTCCTTAGAGTGCAAATTTCTCCCTGGAGAATATACCTTTGTTTGCCAGATGCTTGCTGGGAATACCCTTCTCTTTCTTTTCATCCATCCTATCCGAATCTCTCCTTCAGGGTTCATCTTATGTCATAACTACTCTTTTAAATAGTCATTGATCACTGCAGCCAATATTGCTCTGTCCCTTTTTTAGTACCCACAGCACTTACATGCTTAGTAATTCGCACACTTTCAGTTCAGAAACCTTTCTTATACAGCCTTGTTTTGTTTTCTGTCACAAGTCAGATGACTTCATTACTTTTTTCCCCCTGATCTCCTCTACTATACTCTTAGAAATGATGTGAAGCACTTCAATGTGTGAGAAAGCTACTTTTTCTCTATCACTTCATTATCAAGTGAATGCTGACATCATTTTTAGTATTATTTAAAGTTTTTGCTTATTTTGAGAGAAAAAGAGAAGCACTCTGAATGAGGTCTCATGGCAGTAGACCTCTCCCTATCCCTCTGCCCTTCAGTCAATGGCGTGGATGCCTGGTGTGTACAGGTAACTGGGGAACCGAACCTGGAATCTTCCATATGGAACCAGCATTCCTTGAGTAGTGCCTTACAGCTGTACCACAGAGCCAGGCGTGAGGTTATTTGACATTAAGATGCTGTATACAATGGACCTGTATTTAGGACTAGATAATACTCACAGCAGAGACCCAGCCTCGGCTGAAAAGTTAAGTCCAGTAACTGTCAAGAGGGGAAGAGCAGAACTGGGAAGGCAGGAGAGAAGGTTGAAGTGCTGTCCTCCTCCTGACTTTGAAAAAGAGGTAAGAAGTCTAAGGAGTCTGTGGGAGAGAGGGGGAATATTGTGGTCAAAAGTGTGTAAAAGATGGTGTCTGTCACAAGGAAGTGTCAACTTAAGGTTGTTTTCCAATGCTGCTTGGAGACTCCAGGAGTCTTCTTGGGGTGCGGCTCAGTAGGAAGGAAGACCCTGGAGAAAGTCCTTCCTTTATACGTCATAGAGCAGCTCCAGGTGTTCCTGATTTATCTATTAGGACTTTTTGTAAGATTCTGTTTAAAATAAAGTTTATGGGACTGGCAAGTGGTGTAGCTGTAAGGTCACTGGACTCGCGCATGGCTGACTACTGTTTGAGTCCCAGACCTGGCAGATTCCTTTCCCACTTTCCCTCTCTCTTTCTCTGGTAAAATTAAAAATAATAATAATAAATAAAATTTGAGAAAATATTTTTAATAAAATAAAGGTTATCCTG